CTGTTACTGATAATTACTCTTTCACAATTGCTGCTACTACTACTACTACCACCACCACCACTACCACCACCACTACCACTACCACTACCACTACCACTACCACTACCACTACCACTACCACTAACACTAACACTACCACTACCACTACCACTACCACTACCACTACCACTACCACTACCACTACCACTACCACTACCACTACCACTACCACTACCGGCGCCACCACCACCACCACCCCACCACCACCACCACCACCACACCTACCGCTACCCCTACCCCCCTACCCTACAACTACCCGAAACACTACTACCACCGCCACCCTAGCATCTGCCACTGCTGGTGCTGCTACCACGACTGCTACTACTACTGCTGCTACTCTTGCTCCTGCTACTTCTACTCCTGCTCTTGGCTACTGCTGCTCCTGCTCCTGCTCCTGCTCCTGCTCCTGCTCCTGCTCCTGCTCCTGCTCCCGCTCCTGCTCCTGCTGCCGCTGCTCCTCCTGCTCCTGCTCCGGCTCCTGCTCCTGCTGCTGCTGCTTTCATGCTTTTTTGGTGCTTTTGCTAGTGCATGTGGTAGTCTCTCTACTGCGCCTTTTTTCACTACTACCCTAACCGAGCAACAAGTAATTACGAATTTTGTATACTAGTGCCAGCCAGCGTCCTGTGCCCACTGCGACAGGCCCGTAGTGAAAGGATACTTGGAAGCCATTTTGAAAGACTTGACCAGCTGCCTCGGACTTGGAGAAAAAAGGCAAGGAAGTCATTGAAAACACACAGACACACCCACACACACACACACACACACAGGATCCGTTTATAAGGAGCCTAAATCAGCAGGGTAACACCTACACCTACACTAACATTGAGATAAAGCTGCTACATTAGGCACCCTAAGCTTAAGGGGGCCTTAATATCTAGAATAGGGTTTTGGGGCCCATTTTCACTTCAGCTATATCAAGGAACCCCCTAAAATTAGTACTGATAATTATTTAGCCCCCCTACATTAAAAAGCCCCCATCTGGCCACTTTCTGGCCGGCTGCCTCTCGGCAAAGCCAAAGTCGTCGCCAAAGTCGGACCTGGGCTGTTGTTGGAGGGCTTAGAGTTTACGGTTTAGGGGAGGCCCACAGGACAAAATCCTGATTACAAGGATCGTAAACGAGGTAGACGTCTGATCAACCAACAATTTTACAAACGCTTCCCCATAAATCTGTACACACTATATCCACATGAAAAATCATGCTCAACACCAACCTAGGGGCAGCTTGTTGCAGAGCATGTGCTCAAACTGATTGAAGCCCTTCCTTGCGGATACAACGTGGTTTGGGCTTGGGTTTGGGTTAGGGCTTAGGGTTTACGGATTAGGGTTTAGGTAAGGCTGGCTTGGAGAAAGCAAGAAGTGTTGATTTGCACTACAAGCAGCTGACCACGCAGGGAGTAAAGCATAAACGTGTTCACGCTCTCCTGCCCGTCGCGGAAGACCTTCTGAGTTGCTAAGTTCATAAGCCACTCAAAAGGTACACTTTCAGTTCTACAAGGGGTAATATCATCCCAAAAAGTGCAACATGTACTCATTCAGCTACTAAGCCTTTAACGCAGCACCTGGCGCCATCCCTTCTGACTTGGGTGCTCCGGCAGGTCCGATGCGAATCAGCGCATTCTCCTGCAGGAACTTGAAGCGTAAGGATTTCAGGGCTCAGGGTACAGCTTGTAAGGATTTGGAGTTTAGGGCTTATATGGTTTGCAACGGCTTGGGATTTGGAGCTTAATATGGGGCCTCAAACTTACCAACGTACTCATACTTTTTTTAGGGCTCCTGATTATACATATACAGTTTCTTTGGGACCTGAACCTCTATGTAACAGTCGAGTAACCCATGCTCGACGGAAGCAGGCCAAACAGCTGCAACTTCAAGCTCTTGAGGTGACGTGACCTCAAGCCCAAGCCTCAGTGAAACCCTAAACCCTACACCCTGAACGGGGGGAGTGGCGACATGAACATGTCAGCAAGCAACAGCACCACCACCACCACCACTACTACTACTACTACTACTACTACTACTACTGCTACTGCTACGACGACGACGACGACTTTGCTGCTGCTACTACTACTACTACTGCTACTACGACGACGACGACGACTACGACCACTACGACGACGATGACTGCTACTACTACGGCGACGACAACGACGACTACTACTACTACACCTGAAGCCGGAGACTCGCCGCAGCACAAGGCATGCAAGACGTGCTGTTGGAAGCACTTGGCACCATGCCACAGCACGGCTCGCAGCTTTTTGAAGCTGAGGACCGTGACCTGCACGCAAGCAGGGTTCCCCCACTGCACACGGGACCGCGTGGCACAACTGAAAGCGCCTTCTGGGCGTGCCCAAAGGACACGCGCGCCTGTCGCTGCAGTGGCCTCTGCGTTCAGTGCGAGGACAGCCGGCTTCGGAGAGAATGCGAAACACACACAGTCTACCTGACGCGTCCTCGTATCTGCTGCATCTGTTCCTGGCAGAGAAATGTGCCGTCATGCGAGCTAATATTGTTGCTGCACTGCTAATGCCTCCACTTGGCCATGCAGCTTTGCCTGCACTGCTCGATGTCAGACAAACAACGGTTCGTTGCGGCTGCTCTTACAAGTTGCGGGCCTGGCCTTCTACGACTCAAAGTGCTCGATCTCTGAACGAACCATAGCCTGCTCCGGACTCCAGACCATGAGGATGAGGTGTCACATGACGTGAATTTGAAAGCACAGGCTGCCTCGGCTTCGGACTTGGCCTGGTGCGACAACAGCAACTTTGCCTGCACTGCTCGATGTCAAACAAACAAAAATTCGCTGTGGCTGCTCTTACAAGTTGCGGGCTTGGCCTTCTCCGACTCAAAGTGCTCGATCTCTGAACGAACCATTGACCATTGCCTGCTCCGGACTCCAGACCATGAGGATGAGGTGTCACATGACGTGAATTTCAAAGCACAGGCTGCCTCGGCTTCCTCTCTCTCTCTCTCTATCCCTCTCGCTGTCTCCCGTTCTGTCTCTCTCCCTTCCCTCTCTTTGTCTGGAACAGCGGTTGCTCCTCCTCGGAAACCTGAAGCTCTTCTCGAAGAGACTGAGCGTGTCGCTGCTCCTGACGAAGCCTGGCTTCGTTCTTCTCCGCCTGCAGCAACTAGTATAATTCGATAGTCTTCAAATGAGTTCTCGTTATTGCTCAGCCGGCCTTGTCGAACCACAGACGAATCGATCTGTCCCGCTCCTGATCGATGACTGGATCACTGGGAATTTGGTGTTGGAGGTCTCAGGGCATAAATCGCTGCCTTCGTGATCGTCGTCACCTCTTTCCTCCATTCTTCCTGCCCACGGGTCATGATGAGGCAAGAATAGGAGTCATTCACATGAAACCCATCAGAAGCCTGGCCTGGAGCTTGGCTGCCGATGTCAAGGATGCAGCCTCTGACAGCAGCTCTGCGTTCCGAGCGGCACGAAGCTTGTCCTGACTGAGGCAATGGAATATGTGTGCCGTGTGTACTGGCAAAAGTGACAAAGGCTTGCCAGACTCTGCTTCGGAGTGCTCCTATTCCGCACGCGACAGCTGCACCTTGCAAGTGAAAAGCCCAATGGCCCAATGCACAAACTGTTGCTTAGCTGATCCCCGCCTGAAACGTCCTGTAGCTCAACGGACGAGCAGTTCCGCTCCATGCAGGTTACCTTGAGCTCATTCTGGAGGCTCTTGTACTCTTCCTGACGAGAGACTAGAGATAATTGCGAACATGATTCTGAGCATCATCTTCAAGATGGTTTCTCATCCTCACAGAACCCGAACCCAGGCCGCGGGCCTTCTGCTGGGCCATGACTTCGGAGTGCTGCGCCCACTCCTATTTTTTTCAACGAAGCAAATCATCAAAATTGCCATATGATCAAAGGCAAAGGCAAGGGGGCCAGCCTCTTTTGAGCTCATCTTACTCGGACCTCAAATTTTCCTCCCGAGCCTCTGCGCCTCGTTGCGCGGAACATCCGCGGGCTGCCCTCGCCCACCGTTGCTACCTGTCCACCACTGCCCCCCTCCTCTTGATCGACCTCGACCTCCTCCGTGCTACCCGCCGCCCCACCCACCACCTTGATAACCTTTCATGGCTGCGCAGGCGGATGAGGTGCCTAGTCTTCGTGCAGTTTGTGGTGTGATTGAGTGTCTGATCTGAGACGTAGACTATGTACTATGTGTTTGAACAATGTTAACGGCTGTGGTGCCTTTTGTTTTTTGTGTCAGTGATCCTTGGAACCTGGAATCATTCAAGGCTTCCGCTTGGCAGCGCCGCTTGAGCACACTCATTGTAAGAATGAAGCTGGTAGCTCTCAGAAACATGCAAGCACATCATCTCAGACATAGTTCAAGAGCGGCAGAATGCCAAGGTCCCGGCGAACTGCTTACTTCTTCCTGACGGCTCACCGCCGCCGCGTCTGGCAGGCAACCAAAACCAACATCTCGACGCAGTGCAAATCTGAGAAAAAACCGGGAGGGCCCAAAGCTCCAGCGGCGGGTCGTGATGTAGAGTTTGCGGCCGTCAGGGCTTTTGCTGCCAGGGCCGCACCAGCGGTTGTTGGTGCGGCCATCCTGTCAGGCAGATGCATCAGCTTTGTGTCGTCTGACACCGAGGAGCCCGCCTCGCCAAACTGCAGCCGATGACAAGGCAGGCAATAGACCCATCGGGCCAAGCGGCCTTGCGCACACCAGCGCCACTTGGTTCCCTCCGAGTCTTGCCAAAGTGCCAGCAGCCTCAGGAAGGAGGGCACCAGTCGCAGCGGAAGGTCTGGAGTTCAGGAGAAGCCGCCTGTCCGTTCGAAGCTGACTGAGGTAGCGCTTCCTGTGACAGATTCAGGTCGAGGCGCTTCGTAAGTGGCTGGAACGCTACAAAGCGAGGGAGGCCTGCAGCCGGGACACAGAGGCTCCCCACTCCGGTACTTCCTTTTAGGAACCATTTTGGACAACCAGAGCACTGGAGCCAGAAAGCACGGAAGTCAGGGGCTCGAGAGCAAAGCCAGGACGCTAGCAAAGCAAGGAGTCGAAGTCTGGCCAGACAGGCCTGCGTAGTGGCTAGAGCTTTGGCAGCGCAGCACTTCTAACACAGGAAGAAATAATGGAGTGTAGGGAGGAGGAGGAGGACGGACAGGAAGGGGTATGGAGGGGAGGGGAGGGGAGGGGAG